CATTAGTTCGAATTTTCGCCGATAAGAGGGCAGCACCTCCTGGGCATGATATGTGGCGCCATCTCTGAGAGAACGAGTGAACTTTCTCCAATAAAATAATTCCGAAAGTAATTCGAAATTCAGCTGTATCACGCTGGTACAGATAAAACTGCGATAGGGCACTTTCAAAAAATCCCTTTACTTTTTGCAACTTGCAGATGAAATGAAAGTAATGGCAAAGAAAATGCAGCATAGCCGAGAAGAGGTGTAGAAGCATAAGGTTGGAGGAGAAGGAGAAGGATGCTGTTAGGACGGAGGAGCGTAAGAGAGAGACAGAACTCATTCTTACTTTGGGATATTCGCATAGGGCAAAAGAATATCAACGTGTATAAGTGTTATAAAATAATTTATTCAACAAATGGAATAATGATACAGTATACGTATACAGTATATGGCTTGCGAAAGATTAACAATAACAGTACCATTAAAGATATACTACATATAACAGTGCAATATAATATACGCGTGGTATGTTACATGTGCTACCACTTTAAACTTTTCTTTTTCCAAAAGACATTTTATAAACTTAGTTTCTAAAGATATACTAGGAGGAGAGTGGTGGAGACATAGGAAGGAATAGGAGATTTGAAAATAGAATACAAAGGTTTGGTGGCAGCAGACAGGGAAGATGTTGTTGAAGGGGAAAAGAGGAAGATTGTTCAAAAGAAAGAGTGAAAAACAGAGATGGTAAGGACTGAGGGAATAAGGGGCGAAGAAAGGGCAACCCCCGACACCATGGTCTTAAGTCTAGCTGCACTAACAGGGTGACTACTCTTATATGACTACTTGAATTAATATGCTCGACCCGACCAAAAGAATAGGACAAGTAACACAAGCACAATGGAAAGTGAGAGGGAATAGAATGAAACGAGAAGACAGAAGGGAAGATAGAAATAAAGAAGTTAAGAAGTAGAAAAGTAAGGAGTATAAAAGTAGAGAAGAAATAAAGAAAGAGATAAATCAGAAAGTAAAGAATGACAGATAAAGAAATATGAATGTAAAGAAGAAATAAATATAGAAAGAGAAGAATGTTGAAAATGAGTAAGAGTAATGATTCCAAGAGACCAGTATAGGAGACCGGCTCGAGGAAGAATGGGCGCTCGGAGTCCGGGCGCTGCCTCCAGCGCTCACCCCCACTCTAAGGGGAGAAGAAGATGCGTAAAGCGTATGCACTATAATAATTCCTTATGTATTTATATTTAATAATTGAGAGAAAAACATCCAAAGAATTATTGTCTTTAAATACAAAAAATAAGAAAGTTATTAGCTGAATTAATTTATGCCCAAATTAACACAATTCAAGAACTATAAATGAACACACAATGACAAATGAATTCAATAAGAACATATTTGATTAAATAAGGCGATTTTAAGATATAACATTCATGACCCATTCCATAACACTCATGACCCACACTTACATTACAAATTACAGAAACCAAACTAAAATAAATAATATCGCTTAGCTGCTCGTTGTTTCGAAAACATGATGTACTTCGTAATCGTTGATAAAATTATGGAGGAATTGTTTGCGATATTCCTTTTTACTGGTTGATGTCCAAATTATCAGGGACGTATGCGATCACATCGATTGGCAAATATCTCCGTCAATAATTCCATATAGTGGTTTAAACAAAAGCCCTTTCTATCTTTGTATGGCACCCTGCATTTAGTAATGAAGAAAAATATACATGAAAATCAATGACTCTAATTTTTAAGAATTTTGCTTGTTACCTTAGGTGTGACTTGCTGTGTTGCTTGGTGACGTCCGCTCGTATTGGAAGTCCGAGACAGAATGGGACGACATCAGGCAGCAACAGGACAAATTTAAAAAAATATAAACTCTAGCAGTCAAGTTGGCACTTTCTTAAAAATGTCTTAAAAATATTTCAACAATAAACAATCCCTGTTCTTTCGGGACAAAATTTGTCAAACCTACCGAGTACAAGGTGGAAGGAAGCAGGTAAATGGTCATAGGCTAACCAGAAGCATCAGGTTTGCATTGTGGGTACCCGAGTACCCCGGTTATTGAACGAAAGTGGGAAATTTGGTTATTGACAAGAGGGTTAATATGCTACAACATTGCGTACGGTCAAGTATTTTTATTTTTAATAAAATTTTGTAATTTTTTTTTAAAACATATATTGCATAGATTTTTTGTCCTGTTCTCATCGTTGTCGCTCCTCCATCTTTCCATTCAAATTTTCGTAAGGTAATTCTCCGTTCTCAAACATCCTAGCTGTTTGATTTCTGGAAACTATTAATATTTCCGTTGCTTGACTGCTTATTTCATTCCAGGCAAACTCTATGTCCTTCTCTTCGCACATTCTGCTGCAAACTACGAATCTCACTATCAGCTGGTCCTTGTAATTCGCTGCTATTGTGTAAATACGTTTCCTCTTCATTAAACGATCCAATAGTTCTCTGGTGAGACTGTTATCGCCCTGAGGAATAACAAAATTTTACATTTATCTATCTTATCGACCGACGATTACATTGTAAAAATATATTCTATTTCCTTCCTTACTTTCATTCTGAAGCACACGAGACCCAGTGAAACTTCTGTTACTATTTCAAATCTGTCATCCGAATTTACGAAATTTTCAAACTGATGCGCCAATTTAACCATTCTGCGAATGTGGTTCTGCAATCCTTCGATACCGTAGAGTCGTAAGACAAACCATAATTTTAAAGCGCGGAATCGACGTCCCAATGGAATTTGCCAGTGCTGATTTAAAAAAATTGCGTCATAAAAATAATGCATGATATAAATTAGAGAGTTACGTGTAAAGGTACTTACTCTGTAATCGAGAGCTTGTCCCTGCTTATCGTGTGCCAAGTATATCCTGTCTACATTAAATGCATCGATCAAATACCCTGCATTCTTCACCCTATAGTTAAAATCATTGTTATTAATTTGATAATCACTTGGACGGTTATAATTTTCTTTTATTTACTTCACTATCGTTCTTTCGAAACTCACCACATGGCGGAACAGTCAAAATTGACAAGTAGCCACTTATGCGGATTGAAGTTAAAAGAATCGACATAATTAATACCAGACATAAGATAACGATATTCGGGGCAAACAAAGGCAGATCCTGCAATTGAAAAATTTATAAAATTTCCATCAGTTTCACATCGTATTCTAATAAGTGATCGACGGTCGGCAAGTACGTCTGCCGATAAGTTATCGTCGGTCGGTATCCTAATGAATGTCTGCTCGTCAAGGTGTCAATAGTAAATACTGTACCAAATGCAATAAGTCACCTGCGTAAGCAGCATCCACGTGCAGCCACAGATTATTCTCATTGCAGATTGGTCCGAGTTCATCCAACACGTCAAAAGCGCAGGTGCCAGTAGTACCTAAATTAGCGACCACGTAGCAGGGTATAAGTCCAGCTTCCTCGTCCTTCTTCATAGCTTCCAAAAGCGTATATCCTCGTAAACGACACTTATCGTCGGTTGGTAATAATCTCATGGGTACGGACCCAAGTAAACCAGCCCTTTCCACCGAAGAATTCGCTTGGTCTATCGATTAAAGGTACACGGAAAGAATTTTTCGTTAATTTTTCTCATGAAATTCACGATAAAATTTGCCATAGAAACCAGTGAGCGTGGGACATCGTGACTATTTCATTACTTACTGCTTATAACATACGATATTTTGAGTGGCTACAAATAAATTGTACAGTGCACAAGGTAAATATTGTTACTTGCAATTTTTACTGCGTTTTACAATGTCAATGTTTTTTGCCATTGACTTCAAAGGTATGAAAATTAGTGCACTCCACGGTAAAATTGAAAGTAGCGCACGAGATAATTCGACTGTTTTAGATGACTTTTAAATTCGACAAGGTAAAAGCTATACCTACTTTTAAACTACATATTTTCAAGTCTCAAATATTTTACCGTACACTTCTGTAAGAACCGACGTATCGTGCTTACCTTTTAGTACGATTTCGTGAATTGTTTTGAAACATATGTCCCGTGGTTACCGTGAGTTTCACGGTAATTTTTAATGAAAAATATACGTGTATATATAAACATTAATTTAGCAACAGCCAAATATTATATTAAAAATGTTACCTCACCTACGTAATGCTAAGAACTTACCTGATGTATAAGCCACCAGTTTGGCCTTTATGATTCCTTCGTCCAAATCTGGATGCAAACTCTTTATACGACGTGTTGTCTTTTCCTTTGCAGCCAACAAACCCACTAGAGTCGCTTCGCTTGCAGAACCCTTAGTAATTAAAATATAAGGATTGTTTCCGCAATAATATTAAAATTACCAACATAACTCTAAGAGTGAACATGATTGCATGCTGATTCAGAATATGATTTATATTTTGAGAATAAAAGATCCGAGTTTAAAATTCCGAACGATTCAAACAAATAATTATTATTGTAAAATTTGAAAAACATTCTTTGAATAAAGATAAATAAAATGTACCTGTATAACGCCACCGCCAGGTCCGTCACTGCAATTAAGAAATTCTTTCGGCAGCCCTAGCATTTTCCCTAACCAGTTCATAGTGATAATTTCCAATTCCGTACAAGCGGGCGATGACATCCACGAAAATCCAATGCATCCAAATCCAGCACTCAACATTTCTCCCACTATACCAGGATACGAATTCCCAGCAGGATAGTAAGCATGGAATTGCGGCGAGTTCCAGTGCGTCATCTGAAAAGGTTTTATATTTCCATTACGGGATAAATTTCAAATAAAACCTCCATTAAGTTTTGTACAGTCCGCTTGACCCACTCACTCCGGGAAGTATAAGACGTTCGACGTCCTTCAGCACATCCTGCCAGGATTCTGCCTGTCTCGGTGCTTCATTAGGCATGAGCTTACTCAAATATCCTGGTTCGACACTCGGCAGGACGTCGCGCTCCCGCAGATTTTCCGTGTAATTGGAAATAAAATCGATGGCTGCTTTTCCAAATTCCTCAAACTGTCGCGCGTCCATTTCAGAAGATATACAGTCCAAGGTCACCTTTGTAATCTAGCGACCCCACTGCAATGATAAATGTTTTTCGTCCGTAGGCGAAGAACGCATCAATGACGTATTATGCTCACAATCAGTTTCGCTCACTATATCGAAATTTGATAAGTATGGTTTTTGGAGTCGCTGATTACGAGCATGTAACAATTGTAAAATTATAATGATATTAGCATTTATCCAATTTTCATTCTAGTACATGAGCAGCCTTACACTTCCATCACAATTTGATTTCTAAAAAAAAAAATACAAAATATCTTTCACGAAAACTAAAAATTACTTTTTCTTACCAAATTCGAACGTAAACAAATTTTCACGATTGTCACTGACCCCCCAGTCTATAGAGATTTGCAGTCTACTTGCTAATCTACCTAACGTGGGTATAGAGTTTCATCGCAATCTCAAAGTCAATATTCGAGTCTGCATTTGTCTAAATTGGTGTACTTTTTATAGAAAGTCATTTGTACATCTGTCGTATATCTATATAGAAGAAAATTTCTTCACATGAATTTCAACATGAGTGTTAAGTAAAACATTATCCATTTTTTAAAATAACCATAGCATTTAGAACAAACGAGTCAGTAGACTCAACCGAAAGTGCAACCTCAAAATGTTACCTCTAGTGCATAGCCCGTGAATTCGCCTAAGTCTCACGCACGAAAGATCTGAGGACTTATTGTCACTCGTGACTGGACTCGGTGCAATAGTCGTAGTCTGCCTATTAGGTATGGATTCGTTAAAACGTATCCTAGGGAACAAGCTGGCTCGGTTACGATGTTAATTTTCAAGAAGTCCATTTCTCTTAGTGGATCTTCAAACGTTTTACAAGATCATTAACGTCTCTTTGGAGTTGCTTCAAAACGTCGCACGAGAGGACCGCCGTCTCTGTCAGCGATTCTTCGCGATTCTTTACGAATCGTTCAAGTTTCCAAAAGGTTCTAGAAGCTTCTAGAAGGTTCTCGACCGTGTGCGATTCCTAGCATCGAGCGTAAAATTCCCGGAATCGAGCGAAAATTCTTGGAATGGGGAGGGTCTTGATGACGCAACTTCCAGAAATTGTGGACGCACACGTTGCCAACTTAGCACTTACACCCACCTTCGAAGGCCCTCGAATGTCGCTAAATGTTGGTGCCGGAATCTATATCCAGAACCAGCACAGCTATACTACTGTCAATGCTTGCGCACTTTACTTGGGATTGGGCTATACCTCTAATTACCGTGGGAAGAATGAATAAGATTGGATGTGGGATAAAATTAATTCTATATATTATAAAAAACAAATGAAAACCGACACCAACTAAAATTCTAATATCTACTACGATTTAATAAAATTTAAGAGTTCCTTCACCAAATATAATACCAATATTATAAATTGCTTACCTCGACGTCTGGTGATGATGATAGAAAAGCGATTGGATATTTGAAATAGAGAAATGCGAAGCCGAAGTAAATTAACAGAATGAACGCAATTTATTATAAAGGGAAATACTAAACAGAATGAATCTGAGTAACTACTCTATATGGTATATTATGGAAAAGTTAATAAAAACTGAACAACTATGCTAGCAGGTAGATCGGCCGAGAATGAGAGTCAGTCTTGAAGTTATTGCCTACATATCATTTTATATATATACATATATATATCGTCTTGAAAGGTCATCTCATTTTCCTAAAAGCTGGGACCCATACAAGAAATAGACGCTTCTAAGGAACGCTGTCTGATATAACCCTGACCCCGCTGATTGGTCTTTTGATATTTCGTTATCGGTCATGAACACGAAACCTTTTTTCTTAAGCGAACAGTTAAGCGAACAGATCGTTCTTATCAAATTCTTTTTTCTGTATGTGTATAATTCAGCATCATCGCTGGCGAGTGTTAGATTGTGTTATACTATTTCAAACTTTCTATTATTTGTACAATTTATCGTGAACCATGACCTGTACATCATTGTCGTTGGTTCAAGTATAATCTGTTTTTGTAGTGGGTTTTTGTTTATTCGCGATAGATCTATAATATTATCATATGGCGTACAGTTGTGATGTGATGTAACAAAGCAAGCATTATCGAGGAAGTTAGTTTTAAAATAGATAAACGAAGTTGTTCAAGATCAAAACTACTCTATTTATAGTCAAAATTTATCTTTTCTATTGACCTAGACTAATTATTAAAATTTATTTCAAACAATTACTCATTGCATCATATGTAGGCGCGGCAGCGTTTACATCATGAAAAGTTGTTTACATGGGTGTATTTCATGCGTACACTCGGTAGACGTCGGTAAGGAACGTTTCCAATTGGAGCAATATCTGTAAATTGGGCCGGAAACTTACCGAGCTAATTCAGTAGGCCCTGTAATATTAGGGCCTGTAAATCAGCCGCTTTGAATCTTTAACTCTTCTTTGGTCTGACTCTAGGTCTCTCTCCCGATCTGGGGATGCGCCACCAAGTGCATCTGTGGATCCGATGATCCTTTCATAGGGGTTAGGGCGGGTTCGCAATCCACCCTTAATGGTATTTACCAGTTAGCTACCACTGCGGTTCATATCCATCTGGGTCTGCCCTTGGCCATCTTCTTGGCGATATCTCCCGATCCGTCGATCGGGTATTCTATCCCTCTCCGCAATCTCCGCATTAGTGCAAGGACCAATTAGGGATCCATTCATCCTCAGTCGCGAGCCGGCAAATCATCTCACCGATATCTCCAAACTTCGTGTTCACTTTCTCTACGTCATTTCGCCCTCGCGCAATTATGACATTTTCTTATCTTTCCTGCAATTTAGGCCAGAGGTCACAGGTCATCCGGCTGAGATCACGTCACAATCTCTACAGTGGAAGCTCGCGTGCGACTGGTACTCGGGTAGGACTGCGGTTTGATAAGTTAATCAAAGCAAGTAAAAGGAAGAAGAAAAGTAATAGCTCAAGATCTGATGCAAATTACACAATGTGTGTCAAAATCCTAATTGACGTAGTACACTAGTTCGGCAAAGTGCGTAACGTATCAAACTACAGCCACAGTGGGTACGCTATCTCGATCAGCCGAGAAAAGACTGGAAGGGACCTAGCCGTTATTCGGGAATTTTCGGCGAAATTTTTACAAGCCGTTTTCGAGTCTACCGTGACACTGATGGTCTTGCGCTACATCTATTTTATTATAACTATTATTTACACTGATATAGGTAGGGCGAAGTCCCTCTGTACCGGACACTTGAGGCTATTCGTTAAAAAAAAATAAAAAAAAATAAACAGAAACTTGAATATTTTTCATTTGTATAATACTCTTTGGAGTATTTTTGCTAACATAAAGACAATTTTTATATGTATACTTGAAAATTAGAAAGGAATGCGAATTATTACAGGCTCAAAAGTGAAATGACTCTCGGCAGCGCGTGCACGCATACTGCTGCTAGTGGCATACTATGCCCACTATGCATACTGTGCATCACTATGCCCACTGAACCTGTTAAAATCATGCTGGAGAAATATAAATATGGTTTTTAGTTTCGTAGATACCAGCAGTGTCCGGTACTGGGTACCGTCCGGCGTTACGGGTCTTCTCCCTAACTAGTATCGTACGCATCATCATGTCTCGAGACGCTCTACTTGCCTGCGAAATTTCATAAAAATAAACGAGAGTCACCTCGCGTACGTTCCTTGCTAGTATGTTTGCAGAAATACGCGGCTAACGTCATTTGCTTATACGTTGTTAAAAAATAAATTTCCAAATTTTCGAAATACTGAAATTATAGTCTCAGAAGAAAATACGTGGAATTGAGTTTATCAAAAAAAATGTGAATATGTGGGTAATTGGGTTTCTATTATTGTAGTAACGAAATTTTTGAAGAATTTTCAATCGCATCCATTTTTATTCCTTTTAGTCTCGCTACAATCTCGCCGCCTTCTTCAGTAGCTGCTGGCCCGGCGATTCGATTGATCTTAGCTGTTTGACTTTTTCAAGCCAATATTTCGGTTGCTTGACTACTTATTTCATTCCAGGCAAATTCTATGTCCTTTTCTTCGCACAATCTGCTGCCAACTACGAATCGCATTATTAGCTGGTCCTTGTAATTCGCTGCTATTATGTATATACGTTTCCTCTTCATTAAACGACCCAATAGTTCTCTGGTGAGACTGTTATCGCCCTGAGGAGAAACAAAATTTTACATTTATTTTTGTTATCGACCGACGATTACATTGTAAAAATATATTCTATTTCCTTCCTTACTTTCATTCTGAAGCACACGAGACCCATTGAAAATTCTGTTACTATTTCAAATCTGTCATCCGATTTTACGAAATCTTCGAACCGAAGCGCCAATCGAATCGATCTGCGAATGTGGTTCTGCAATCCTTCGATGCCGTAGAGTCGTAAGACAAACCATAATTTTAAAGCGCGGAATCGACGACTTAATGGGATTTGCCAGTGCTGATTTTAAAAAATTGCGTTATAAAAATAATGCATGATATAAATTAGAGAGTTACGTGTAAAGATACTTACTCTGTAATCGAGAGCTTGTCCCTGCTTATCGTGTGCCAAGTATATTCTGTCTACATAAAATGCATCGATCAAATACCCTGCATTCTTCACCCTATAGTTAAAAATCATTGTTATTAATCTGATAATCACTTGGACGGTTATAATTTTCTTTTATTTACTTCACTATCGTTCTTTCGAAACTTACCACATGGCAGAACAGTCAAAATTGACAAGTAGCCACTTATGCGGATTGAAATTAAAAGAATCGACATAATTAACACCAGACATAAGATGGCGATATTCGGGGCAAACAAAGGCAGATCCTGCAATTGAAAAATTTATAAAAATTCCATCAATTTCACATCGTATTCCAATAAGTGATCGACGGTCGACAAGTACGTCTGCCGATAAGTTATCGTCGGTCGGTATCCTACAAAATCTTATTGAAGCCTTTAACAGTTAACGGCCGCTGTCGCGTATGCATAATTTTGGATTGGCAGTAGATTAGAATCAATTAATGAAATGTCTGCCCGTCAAGGTGTCAACAGTAAATACTGTACCAAATGCAATAAGTCACCTGCGTAAGCAGCATCCACGTGCAGCCACAGATTATTCTCATTGCAGATTGGTCCAAGTTCATCGAGCACGTCAAAAGCGCAGGTGCCAGTAGTACCTAAAGTAGCGACCACGTAGCAAGGTATGAGTCCAGCTTCCTCGTCCTTCTTAATAGCTTCCAAAAGCGTAGATCCTCGTAAACGACACTTATCGTCGGTTGGTAATAATCTCATAGGCATTGACCCAAGTAACCCAGCCTTTTCCACCGATGAATTCGATTGGTCTACCGATTGAGGGTAGATAAACATTATTTTACCAACAGTCAAATATTACCTTAAAACCATTACCTTATTTACGTAATACTAAAAACTTACCTGACGTATAAGCCACCAGTTTGGCCTTTATGATTCCTTCGTCCAAGTCTGGATGCAAAGTCTTTATACGACGTGTTGTCTTCTCCTTTGCAGCCAACAAACCCACTAGAGTCGCTTCGCATGCAGAACCCTTAGTAATTAAAATATAAGGATTGTTTTCTCAATAATATTTAAATTACCAACATAATTGTAAGAGTAAACATCATTGCATTTTGATTCAGAATGTGATTTATATGTTAAGCATGAAAGGTCCGGAGTTCGAATTATAGTTATAATTATAAAAGTTATAACTTATAATTATAAAGTTACAAGTTATAATTATAAAATTTTAAAAAAGTTACGTTAAAAATTATTTGAATAAAGATAAATAAAATGTACCTGTATAACGCCACCGCCAGGTCCGTCACTGCAATTAAGAAATTCTTCCGGCAGCCCTAGCAATTTCCCTAACCAGTTCATAGTGATAATTTCCAATTCCGTACAAGCGGGCGATGACATCCACGAAAATCCAATACATCCAAATCCAGCACTCAACATTTCTCCCACTATACCAGGATACGAAT